TTAAACTCTGCAGGACACTGGCCCTCCAGGACTGAGTTTGGTGACCCCTGCACTGCACTCTTCTTACACTCTCACGCACAGATGCCGCACGTTCATTTTCTCACTCAGTGAAATGCACCCTCAGGCGAAACCAAAAGCACCCTCAGTTTAACCCTAAATAGGCCTTGGGGACAAATTTGGGCAAAATCATCTTGTTTTTTGTTTTTTAATAAAAATGGTTTCCTTAATCTGAGCGGTAAAAGACTTGGTTACTCTTCCTAAGTTTGCCACCTGAACACACACACACACACACACACAAAAGTTGGACTTGATTCAACAATGTTAAGTCTTTAAAGAAAACTCAATAATTGGTCCTTCGAGAACAAAAGTGGGCAGCCATATGAAATGAATTAGTGAGACTACAATTCAGAGCAATTTTTTTTTATTTGTCCAATAAAAATCAATAAATCCAACACAATGCAGATCATACATACAGATAAATGAAGGGGTGAGCATATACAACATTCTCAATGTGGCTCACATTCACACTCTCTCTCTCTCTCGCTCTCTCTCACACACACACATGATATAATTATTATTATTATCAGTATTATTCAGTTTAAAGGGTATGGTAGTTTTGCTGTTGTAAATACTACTGTTGCTGTTGTAGAAAAAAAAATATTTATGTCTTATTTAAAATAGAATTCTATTCTAATCCTGTTCTGAATGTATTCATTTTTTGAATGATAATGATAATAAAAACAGGATTGATAAGTATAATTCGAAGGATGAGAAAATCAGTATAAGCCTGTTTTTACCAGTTGTGTGATAATTATTTTAATGCACTCTACGTTTTTTAAATAAATACTGTAATAATAATAGTTCAAAGTATGAATAGTTTTTAGTCAGATAACAAAAAAGACAAGACCCCTCAATGCCCTTTAAATTTTTCCCAATCAAACAGCAAGAACAAAAGAGAACAGGCACCTTTGTTTATATGTGTGACGTGTCATGTGGCCAAGTATGGTGACCCATACTAGGAATTAGTGCTCTGCATTTAACCCATCCTTAGTGCACACACACAGCAGTGAACACACACACCCAGAGCAGTGGGCAGCCATTTATGCTGTGGCACCCAGGGAGCAGTTGGGGGTTGGGAAGTCATGGTATTGAAGGTGGGAGAGAGTGCTGTACATTCACTCCCCCCACCTACAATCCCTGCTGGCACGAGACTCGAACCCACAACCTTTGGGTTACGAGTCAGACTCTCTAACCATTAGGCCACGACTTCCCCACTATATGGTTTTGTACATTTTTAATATTTAATAAATATTTAATTTTAATCAAATGTAAATTCGTCCCCCGCACTTTATTCAGTCAGGTGTGTTCACTTAGAGGTTTCTAGATTTAAATTCAAAGAGACAGTATCGATAGTCTTTGCATGACCTGACGTTTTATTCGTATCCAAAATGTGGCGATGTGAACAATAGGAGCGCTGAACACTCTCATGCAGTGTGTGTTACTCGAAGCCAGAGGGCGCTCTCACGCAGAAAGTCCAAAACAGACTCATAGAAGTAATAACTTAAGACAGGAAATCCCTAATATGGGCAAAAGCATCTGGCTATTGCTGTAGCTGAGCTAAATAAAAAGCAGAAACGTTTTTATTGATGAAACGTGAAGACAATAAACGCACGATTGCGAAAATATATGGTTTATGTGTTTTTCAAGTTATCTCCAGGTAATAAATAAATATGAATAATGCGGTATTGATTGACATATAATTTAGTATAGAAACTATAAAATATATTCCCTGCCTTATTCTGTGATAAAAATGGGTAAAGGTGTTCGTAGTTTTTACCAGTGTTGTGATAATTATTTTAATGCACTCTACGTTTTTTAAATAAATACTGTAATAATAATAGTTCAAAGTATGAATAGTTTTTAGTCAGATAACAAAAAAGACAAGACCCCTCAATGCCCTTTAAATTTTTCCCAATCAAACAGCAAGAACAAAAGAGAACAGGCACCTTTGTTTATATGTGTGACGTGTCATGTGGCCAAGTATGGTGACCCATACTAGGAATTAGTGCTCTGCATTTAACCCATCCTTAGTGCACACACACAGCAGTGAACACACACACCCAGAGCAGTGGGCAGCCATTTATGCTGTGGCACCCAGGGAGCAGTTGGGGGTTGGGAAGTCATGGTATTGAAGGTGGGAGAGAGTGCTGTACATTCACTCCCCCCACCTACAATCCCTGCTGGCACGAGACTCGAACCCACAACCTTTGGGTTACGAGTCAGACTCTCTAACCATTAGGCCACGACTTCCCCACTATATGGTTTTGTACATTTTTAATATTTAATAAATATTTAATTTTAATCAAATGTAAATTCGTCCCCCGCACTTTATTCAGTCAGGTGTGTTCACTTAGAGGTTTCTAGATTTAAATTCAAAGAGACAGTATCGATAGTCTTTGCATGACCTGACGTTTTATTCGTATCCAAAATGTGGCGATGTGAACAATAGGAGCGCTGAACACTCTCATGCAGTGTGTGTTACTCGAAGCCAGAGGGCGCTCTCACGCAGAAAGTCCAAAACAGACTCATAGAAGTAATAACTTAAGACAGGAAATCCCTAATATGGGCAAAAGCATCTGGCTATTGCTGTAGCTGAGCTAAATAAAAAGCAGAAACGTTTTTATTGATGAAACGTGAAGACAATAAACGCACGATTGCGAAAATATATGGTTTATGTGTTTTTCAAGTTATCTCCAGGTAATAAATAAATATGAATAATGCGGTATTGATTGACATATAATTTAGTATAGAAACTATAAAATATATTCCCTGCCTTATTCTGTGATAAAAATGGGTAAAGGTGTTCGTAGTAGCTTTTATAAACCAATAATAAAATTGTAATTAGGAAAATATTGAACTAATATATTATAGCCCCTTGCTACAGCTTACTTTACTTCCACAGGCTACACACATCAAAATGAACAACAGCTGTGCATGCTCTCTTCACGTAGTTCTTGTAAAATAATAATAATTGAATAATATAAGTAAAGAAGCGCACCGCTCAGCTGAGAACTCCACTGCTAAATTATTAATTAAAGGTGTCTGAACTTGAGGGATCGTCAGGTGAAAGGTCATCATGTGGATCATTTTATTTACGTTAAATTATAATTCATTCATTTTACTAATAGTTAGATTGGACAGGCCTTCGCAAAAGGGTGTTTAATTACCCCAAAAAAAATTTATAGTAGAATTGCCTTGACAAAAGGGCACTTTGGGCATCAAGGGGAAAAGGGGCAGGTGCTCAAGTAGCCTACCCACCGCACCCCCCTCTGCACGTGCCTGTTTTTTTCTTAAAGAGGTCCTATTATGCTCTTTTACAAAGTCTTGATTTTGTTTTGGGGGTGTACTAGAACATGCCCTCATACTTGGTGGTTCGAAAAACGCATTATTTTTCACATAATTTACTTTATTAAAATACCTTTCTCCCCAGCCTGGCACAAACGGCTCGATTAGTTCCGGCTTTGATGAAGGTCCGCCTTCCGAAAAACAAACTGTTTTGTGATTGGTTAGCTGTCCCAGTGCATTGTGATTGCCGAACAGCTTAGACGGTGTTTCAGCACTGCCCTGCCCCTTTCTCCGTCTTTCAACAAAAACTTTTGGGCAAATCCAGCACTGTACTCCTCGTGTTGTGGAAGCTGTCCTCAGTAAAATGCGCGGCACACAATAGCAAATTGGGGTTATAATGCTCAGGAACAGAGTTAAAAAATAAATTGCAACCACTGTTTCCTGACATCATCCACTTTCGGAAGCCCAAACAAAGACGTTTGGGCACGGAGGTGAAAAAAACAGAGTTCAAGAACTGTTCTAGACATGCCGAAAATAACAATAATAATAATAATAATAATTCATTTCATTTATACAGCGCTTTTCTAGGCACTCAAAGCGCTTTACATTGTCAGGGGGAATCTTATCTCCCTTTGGAGTGGACTTTGAGATTTGTAACTTTCTAGATCTTTTTTATGCCCAAACATACACACTACACACTGACTAAAATAAAAAAAAAGTGAAAAAGCATAGTAGGACCCCTTTAAATGAAGATATAGTGTTATGACATTTACTTATTTCTTGAACACCTGTGATTGGCCATTTCAATACTCTCGTTGAAACAAAGTGTAAGCACGATGTGGATAAGAGATTCATTGATTATATTTGTGAGATCGTGATGAACTCAAGTGAGTAACAGCTGTTTAGTGATTGTATATTTAGAAATGAAGCGGTATATTTGCGCGCCTTATATAATCCATCCAATAAAAGTTTTGTTTTTCGTGCTGATAAAATGCATTATGTATTCACTTTCGAAATATGTCATATAAAATATCAATTCCCCGTGGGAATTCTCAAAATGAGTTGTGCTCGTTTTTATTTTTTATTTTTTAATCACACACAAAATCCTGCAAATACTCCTGCAACCCCACCGTCCCCCATACATGATCGTTTCAATTTGGATAAAAACCCACTAAAATATGTTTGTTTTTTTATTTTTGCGATGTGCCAAAACTGCAAACGTGTGACAACCTGCCCCGGTCTCCTTTATTTGAATGATTTAGTGCTTGCAGCGTTATAACAATGGGGTTATGCGTGCGTTGCGTTGTGTTTATTAATTGTTGGATGTTAAATAGTACTCTTTATTTATTTCAAGGTGTATGCTTAAATTAGTCATGGCTTTCCTGTAGTAAAAGTGTCGTAACCATGGGTTTTTGGCATATTGATTACCATTTGTATAACCTCAGTTTTACTGGTTACTATGGTTAGTGTAGCAAAACCATGGTAAATGTATGGTAGTAACCATGTTTTTTTGGTTTTATTTTGCCTTCCATAAAGACTGGAGATCCATGAAGACTGGTGTAATGTTAAAGTGTTTTTGTTTTGCCCATTTACCCGTTATCGTTATATTGTTCAGTACCCGTGTGAAGTAAGAAGTAAAGGTAAAGCTCCAGTGCTTCTCATCAGACCGTCGCTGCTGATGTCGTTTGTTTACCTCTGTACCGGAAGCGCTGCTGTGACGTCACGGGCAAGCTCAGCTGGGCGATCAGTAAACAAGCATACTGAAACACCTTCATCACAGTCATCGCCATTATCACAGAGAGACTGTTGTCATCCGGCTGCAACTCGGCCGATCATTCCCGGTAAGTGTTGCTTATATCGTCCAGCCTCGCGCACAAACTCACAACATCTACTGTACGGTCAGATTATATAACGACCGCACACTGCTGGCAGCTCAGTCAATCACACTCATTTATACTATCCTATTTTTTATTTGCACTTTCTGCGAATATCATGTTTACTGGAGGGATAAATACAGGCCACTATTTACAGTTAGCATTATGTACCAATATAAATTCTGCCAATCGTAGTGTGTCTTTCTATTTTGAGTATAAACTCAGCATTGCCCTTAAAAATGGTAGTGTTTTAGAGTGTTTTCTTATTAACGTATCATTTTGACCTAGTTCTTGGTTCTGAAATGTGGCAGACAGGACTTTGTTTCCTGTCAATCAAAGTATGCTTACTTTCTCTTGTCACTGTGGTGTGATATATGTTTGTCATATTTACTTTCTATGGTGACTAATAACAGTGGGTGACACACACAGGATGGGGACATTTCTAATTTCTCTCCCTCTCTCCCTGTTCTTTCATTTAGCAGCGGTGTGGGACGTCACACTAAAATGTGAGCAGGCTCACTTTCTGTTTGCATTTTTATATCAAGATGGCTGATGACTTGGTCCCGTGCGCGGCTGGAGAGGCCGGAGGAGCCGTTCACTCCGCCCAGCCCTGTGCCAAGCAGAAATACCGCAGTAATGCCCATTCACAGGGACTGCTCGACGGGCTCCTGATGCTGCGACAAGGAGGGGTTCTGTTTGATGTGGTGCTCTTGGTTGAAGGAAAGGCTATTCAGGCTCACCGCATTCTCCTGGCGGCCTCGTGTGACTATTTCAGGTATGCATGACTCTCCCCAAATGTTTAGGGATGAAGGAAGAAGATTTAGGAACTTAGGAAGATTTTTTTTTATGTTTTTAAAGAAGTCTCTAATGTTGATTGTGCCTCCTTTCCTCTTTGTGTTTAGGGGCATGTTTGCCGGCGGTTTGCGGGAGATGCAGCAAACTGAGATCCCCGTCCAAGGAGTCACATACACGGCGATGACCAAACTGCTGGACTTCATCTACACCTCCGAGCTGGAGCTGGACCTGGACACGGTACAGGAAGTGCTGTGCGCGGCCACTCTGCTGCAGGTCCAAGATGTGATCGGCTTCTGCTGCGACTTCCTGTTCTCCTGGCTGGATGATGACAACATCCTGGAGGTGGAAAAGCTAGCCGACATCTACGGGCTCGACCAGCTCGGGGAAAAAATTCGCTCGTATCTGCTCAAGAACATCCAGACCTTCTCGCGTACGCCAGTGTATCGAAAGCTTCCTCCGGAAAAGATCCTGAGTGTGCTTTCCAGCGACGATCTGGAGGTGAACTCTGAGAACGAGGTGTATGAAGCAGCCCTGCACTACCATTACACTCCTGAACAGGTGGAGAAGCATGGGGTTTGCTTACAGGTGAGAAACAGATGGGTGGCCACAGCAGATATGACATCCCTGCATCTGTTGATTTGCAAAAAAAGGCCTATTATTACCTCATTTGATGACGCTTAGTTCAAAAATATCAATACAAACTTTTGCACAATTCATCACATAGCCTATTTTTTTCACAAAATATGTGGTAAAAAAGGTTTTTCGATTAAATATGCTACTGTATGTGTCATTGTTATTTTAATGACTTTTTAATTTTTTTTTATTTTCTGTTTTCATGTTAATTTTTGTTAAAAATGTTAGTAATTTTGTTGTGTTTTTGTCATTTTTAGTAGTTTTTGTATATTTTATATATAATTTTTATTAGTTAAACAATTTAAAATAAGACATTTTGCCTTGGCAACAAGGTGAAATAAAAAGGTTTTGACATTTTATTTGATTTAAATTAGCATCCTTTTATTACAAGTTACAAAAATGGCTATAGTTATAGTATCGGTTTTAGTTGTAGTTACCTAAAATAACCCATGTATCAGCTTTAATCAAAATAACAAAAGCAGTCATATGTCACAAGTTTTGGTTTACTGACCACAAACGTTTGAACGGTAGTATATGTGACCCTGGACAACAAAACCAGTCATAAGGGTCAATTCTTAGAGAAAGGGAAATAGAGATTTATACATCATCTGAAATGTATACAACTATTTGAAAATCTGGAATCTGAGGGTGCAAAAAAATCAAAACATCGAGAAAATCGCTTTTAAAGTTGTCCAAATGAAGTTCTTAGCGATGCATATTACTAATCAAAAATTAAGTTTTGATATATTTACGGTAGGAAATGTACAAAATATCTTCATGGAACATGATCTTTAATTAATATCCTAATGATTTTTGGCTTAAAAGAAAAATCGATCATTTTGACCCATACAATGTATTTTTGGCTATTGCTACAAATATACCCCAGCGCCTTAAGACTGCTTTTGTGCTCCAGGGTCACATATATGTTATAGAAAGTGTATATTTCAGGTGCTGATCACTTTTTTCACCATTTTTAATATTCTGTTCACTTAAAAAAATCCAGCAGTAACTTTTCTAGAAAAACAAATATACCAAGTCGTTCAATTATTATGAGGTTATAAAACTGCACGTCTAATAATTATACAATTATACAAATAAATACTGAGAATGCACATGCATCAATGAAGTTACTAAACATGAGAGATCAACAACCACTTTATGTGAAATCATTTATATATTTATGTATGTGGGTCAGAGAGACACAGATTTGTCCATGACAAAGCAGAAATATTTCTTCATTCAAAAGAACTTCATTCTTCAAATTCAGAATTAGATTTTTATGAAGGTTTGTTCAAATGTACAGTATATAGTGTGTGTATCAGCTTTAATGCATCAAAATAACAAAAGCAGTCAAATGTTAAAAGTTTTGGTTTTATTGACAAAAAGTAGTGTTCAAAATGTGTCATTTATAATCTCCAAACAATATTTTCAAATAATCAATTTAATGTCCAAAAACTTAACTTAAACACATATATTTACATTTTCGTCGCAAAATCTGTAATTTTCTGTTGCTGATTTAGTAAAACACCCACTAATGTAGCAGAAAACATCTGGGTCATGTTTGCATTTTCTTTTGTCACTGGCCGTAATTCTAACCTTGTTAGAGAAATGTGAAAATCAGATGAGAATTGAACATGTAGTTGTAACCGGCATGAATCATGTCTTTGTGGCAGTTTTCTGTTGAACGCTACAAAATGCACATTATATTTTGTGAGATAATGTGATGTGCTCAAGCAAAACATACACTGTTTTTGGAATTAGCACCCCAAAATTAGCACACAAAAAAACAAGTATCAGTCTCCCCATTGCCATAGTCTTTTTGGAAGTGATTAGTGATATCTATGACAAATCAACTTTTCCTTCAGGATTCGTTGCAGATGTTGGAAGCAGTGCGGTTCTGTCTGATGGAGAAGCACGTGTTGCAGCGCTTACACAGCCGGTTAGAGCAGTGTCCTCTGCGGGACTCAGTGGCCGCTGCTCTGCGTTACCACAGTCAGGAGCTGTGGCAGCCGGTGATGCAAACCCCACTCACTCAGCCTCGCTGCAGCTCCCAGTGCATCGTGGGATTCGGTGGCATGTATTCATCTAGCGCACTGGTGGATAATGAAGAGCGCTTCCAGGTGTTCCACCCCTCCTGGGGCGAGTGGCGTAGTCTGGCTGCAGATCGTGCTCCTCGCATGTCCAACATGGGCATCGCGGTGCTCAATAACTTTGTGTACCTAATTGGTGGAGACAAGAACACCAGCGGCTTCCGTGCTGAAGCTCGATGCTGGCGGTAAGTGATGCTGAATATTAATTTGCATTACGTTTTTTACAGATGTTGAAGTGCAACTGTGACTCTAGAACAACTGTTAGAGGGACAGTGCTTGGATTTAATATTGTTATAACTGGTTTATACATGTTACACTGTAGAAGAGAATGAATAATTTTGTTTTGGCTGTACTTTTACCAAATTTCAAATTGTATTAAATTATGAGTCCTAATTTTTTTTATTATTATATACTTTTATTTTGTTTATTTTTTAATATACTTTAATGGGTTTCATTTTTTAAATTATTTCAGTAATTTTTTGTAATAATGTTTTTGAAAGTCATTTATTTGATCAAAAATACAGTGAAAACAACAATATTGTGAACTATTTTCTGTTGTATTATATTTTAAAATGTAATTTATTCCTGTGATGCAAAGCTGAATTTTCAGCATCATTACTGCAGTCTTCAGAGTCACATGATCCTTCAGAAATCATTCTGATATACTGATTTGATGCTGAGGAAACATTTTGGTAACACTTTATTTCGATAGTCCACTTTAGACATTCTATTAACAGTAAGTAACTTTGCAACTACATGTCAACTAGCAGTTAGTAGAGTATTAGTAGACTGTCTGCTTAATATCTTCTAACACTTTCTTTGTCAACTTATTCTACTAACCCTAAACCTACCGTCTACTCTGAGAGTTAGTAGACATGTAGTTGCAAATTAATGAGAATTAGTTGACATGTAGTTACTTATAGTTAATAGAATGTCTAAAGTGGACTCGAAATAAAGTGTAACCAACATTTCTTATTACAGTGTGACTGGCTTTACATTATTCAGGTTCGAGATCAGAGCTTTGACTTGGCCATTGTAGGGCTTTAGATCCTCCCATTTGGCCTTGTGTTTGGGATTACTGGATTTGTATCATATCCAAATCAGAGACCAATATAATCCAATAAGTGCTGATTGGATTATTGGACTTGTTGTTTATACAAATCTTAAACCATTATAATTGCAAGACCACTCAGAGTTTGAAAGCTTGTCAAACTAAATAAAACTCATTATTCACATAAATTCCATAAGAAGACAGAAACAGCAACAAAAAATATGTGAATCCAGTGTAAGCATAAAGAAATTAAGATGTACATCATCAGTAATATTGTTAATGTTGGGATAAAGGTTAAAAACTTTACATAAAACTGGACCTCTTGTTTGCAAATGATTATACTACACTGAACAAAATTACAAACGCAACACTTTTGTTTTTGCCCCCATTTTTCATGAGCAAACTCAAAGATCTAAGACTTTCTATGTACACAAAATGCCTATTTCTCTCAAATATTGTTCCCAAATCTGTCTAAATCTGTGTTAGTGGGCACTTCTTTGGCGAGATAATCCATCCACCTCACAGGTGTGGTATATCAAGATGCTGATTAGACAGCATGATTATTGCACAGGTGTGCCTTAGGCTGGCCACAATAAAAGGCCACTCTAAAATGTGCAGTTTTACTGTATTGGGGGATTAAATCAATACATTTTGTAGCTTTAAGGATTTGATAACTTTTTTCAATTTCTGTATATTCCCTACTTTCTGAAGGGCACAGGTAAATATGACATTTATTATAATGGGTTTATGTGAAGATTGTTTTAAGTTCATTTAAGTTAGAAGTTGTTGTTTTTTAAAGTCTAATAAATGTTAAGATTGATAGCTCTCAATTATACTGTAATGTTGAATGGCTAATAGTTAATGGTTAAATATTAGAGGGAAAACTATTTCATAGAGACTTCAGTAGTTTTGGTATCAGTGATATTCGCCTTCAGTCATAAAAAAGAGATGCCATTAAACAAATATTTAAAAAAATATATACTGTTTTTATGTTGTTTCTACATTATTTTGAAGATTGAATGTGAAATTATTGCAATATAAAAGTATATTTAAAAACTTTAATGGTGTGATTAATCGCGATTAATTTCAGGGAAAAAAAATACGATTTGGTTTTTGGTTTTTTATCGATTGACAACACTAGTTGTAGACAATGGCCTGTTCATGAACTGCTGAATGAGTTATGTCAGTTAGGTTGACACTGAGCAGCATTTCAATACGCTCTATTGTTTTGAAAAGAGAGAAGCTTCATGGGCATTATCCTTCAGTTTGTCCCGTATTAATTCAGCTCAAACAGTCAAAAAAGAGAGTAGTGATGCATCAAATGAAATTCTGTACAGCTGAATTTCTATTTGAAGTATAACAATTGAAAAAACAGTAATCGAGAGATTTAATACAACTTTAATAATGAGACAATTTTGAATGTCTTTTTAATAACATATTGCTAAAACTCAGGACAATAATATGCATACTAAAATATTTACATAATACATTTCTGATACATCTCTAATTGTTAATTTACATTATTTGTTTGATTCATTCCATTGTTTTCTCATCAAGGTACGATCCCCGCCACAACACCTGGTGTACTATCGAGCCTCTACGACAACAGCACGCGGATCATTGCGTCTGTGTGTTTGATAAATATATCTACGCCATCGGAGGACGAGACTACACCAATGAACTGGACTGTGTGGAGCGCTACAACCCACAAACCAACACCTGGGAATATGTGGCGCCGCTGAAACGAGAGGTGAACAGTCATTGATAAACCACTGAACTACACTGGTTATCTGTAGATATGCTAATATATTACTATCTCTCAAGTAATTGAGCAATGCATCCGTCAGGTCACGTTCATAGTGCTCACTATAGTGCAATTCAGACACTTCAGAAATCCCTTTCCTATTAATGTACAACATATGAAAAAAATTATTTACTGCTGACTCATAAAAACAGTCTCTTGTCACCATCTATTGGCTTAATAATCTAACTAATCACGAACACACTGTTTCTCAATACTAAATACTATTATTAAATACTACTATTATTTACATAAAACAATTTTTTCTGGATAATAATATTTAATAAACAACAACAACTGCCATCATAAAAGTTGCTAGACATTTCTGTCAAAAGTACAAAAGCAGCACTCTGATATACAGCATTAGAATATGACGTGATGAGATTTTGCCCGCAGACAAAACTATTTGCTCTGGAACAAATAATAGATTAATGAGACCAAAGACTGCCCATTAGATTTACCCAAAATGAATGAATTATATCTCATGTTTAACCACTATAGAGACATCAGAGCCAGCGGCAAATTCCTGGAGATCTGGCTGGGGTGAGGCTGCTCTCGGCGGGTTCATGAGCGCTGAACGGCCGCTGACGCCCTGGAGCTCATAAGTCCGAAAACATTGAGGCAATTTTTCAAATAGACGTTATCTTTATTAACAAGCCACATATTTGAAGTCTAAACAAGTACATTCTCACCTAAAAAACGACATTCTGAGACACAACAAACAGTATTATTTATAAAATTATAGTGGATTTGGACGTCTGCCATGACACTCGCCGTGAGAAATACTGCAAGCGGTGTGATACAAGTGGTGAACCCGTTGGAGTGCTGTCATCACTAGATATCACTCAGCCAATCAGATTCGAGAACCAGAAAAGAACTGTTGTATAAGTTGTAATAAAATGCTGTTTTTACTCTATTTTTGATCAAATAAATGCAGCCTTGGTGAGCAGAGGGGTCTCAGTTATTCCAATCTTTTGGCCAGTAGTGTAAGTTGTATTTACATAAGGGCTGCAGCTACCACAAGAATGTGACATGAGTTTATGAATTTTAGGTTTAATGTGTATAATGTATACACACTCTCACATGCCTGTGTCTGCAGGTATATGCCCACGCCGCCGCAGTGATTGATGGGAAGATCTACATAGCATGTGGTCGGCGGGGAATGGCTTATCTGAAGGAGAGCTACTGTTACGATCCCAGCGGCAATCACTGGAGCTTGTGTGCCGAGGGCCCGGTGGAGCGCGCCTGGCACAGCATGGCAGCACTTAACGGCCGCGCTTATGTCATTGGAGGCAGCAACGATGGTTGCGGTTACCGGCGAGACGTCCTCAAGGTACTGAACTTCTGAAATACCCACATCGCTGCTTTACAGTTAACAATGACTGCATGTTTTAACACCAGTTATAGCATGGTGTAAAAACTGTGTAAATTAATAAATAAAATTAGTTTATTAAGTTAAAGCAAAACCTAGTGAGCTGCCAACCTAGACCACATCATAGGCTTTGCTCCTCAGGTGAAGGATGTTCCAAAAGTCAACATGTGTCAAGGTCCATAAGTCTTTTTTTTTTTTTTTAACAGATAATTTGACCATTTATGACAAGGCAAGGTTAGTTCAGGTTGTAAAATGTCATGCTGTTTAACTTAAAACTTTTTTGAGTTCAATAATTAAGATGTGTACACTCATTTCTGTATTCAATATGTAAGGAAAATAAGTTATTAGTTTTACATGATATTACAGCATATGACATTAAATTCATTCAATTGAAGCTTTTCTTGATTTTCAAAACCATATGAAACCATGAATACAAACAGTACATTTCTTAAAAAACCTGGCACATGTGTTATAAAGTAGATTTTTTTCTCTTGGACACTCTTATCTTCATTAACCTTTATTTGTTTAATTATTTAATGTATATTATTTGGTGCTGTCAATCGATTTAAAAAAGACAAACTAATTAATCACAATTTTTGTTTCTGAAATTAATCGTGATTAATCACACCTATCATTAAAGTTTTTAAATATACTTTTATATTGCAACAATTTCACATCTTCAAAATAATGTGGAAATAACATAAAGACAATATTTTGTTTTTAATATTTGTTTAATGGCGTGACTGGAGGCGAGTATCACTGATACCAAAACTACTGATGTCTCTATGATTTTTCCCCCTAATATTTAACTATTAACTATTAGCCATTCGACGTTACAGTATAATTGAGAGCTATCAATCTTAATATTTATTAGACTTTAAAAAATAACCACTTCTAATTTATGTGAACTTAAAACAATCTTCACATAAACATAAATGCCATATTTAGCTACATGTGCCCTTCAGCAAGTAGGAAATATACAGAAATTAAATAAAGTTATCGAACTTTAAATTCTAAGTTAAATATAGATGAATCCTTAAAGCTACAAAAGTTATTGATTTAATCTTTTTTTCTTTTGTTCTTTGATGAACAGACATCACAGCAGCTGGTTATTAGGTTATTTTGGCTGCCGCTGCTGAACATGACCCGCATGTGTCACACGCATCGTATTTTCTCACAACTCTTTACCTTTTCTGACCCACTTCAGCTCTCAAAGTCTCTATAATGAGCTGACGAGTTGAATCGGGTGTGTTAGATGAGGGAGACACACTGCTGCTCCAGGACAGTTTTGAAAACCACTGCATTTCAGAAGCATGTTCTTTTCTATGTTTCCATCACCCTGTTTTAATACACATTTTGAAGTATCGCATGAGAAACGAGTGATGGAAACGCCAAATTTCGAAAATAAATCCCTTAATTCGCAAAAAACGTTTTACGCTCGCTTGAGGTGGTTTTTGACTTGTGCGAAAAAGGGATAATGCGAATAATGGGAGATGCAAACGCATTTTGCGAATAAATCCCGCATGAGCATTCAAAAAATCATGTGACTTTGCACTATGGGACAGCATAACCTCTCTAACCAGCAGACCGATTTAGTTGCACAGCATCTGAAATGTTGTCATGGTCATTCTGAAGTGCCCGGGGAAAGTCTTTCGTCAAAGTATTTCTGTTTAACTGCCTCCCATAACGGTCGACCACGACTGCGTTCCCAAACAGCTGACATTCACCTCCGAAAGCAAGACTTATTGTGTTTTGTCTGCTCACTCAAAGCACAAGTAATTTATTGTATTTGGGAATTATTATATTCAGTGACTTCTCTTACTTTTCTTAGTGATATTTAGTGCCAGTTTATCAGGAAGTGACAATTTTGTTCTCTCTGACTCGTTGGATGGAAAAGTTCAATTCGTTAAATTCGTAAAAGTTAAATTCGCAACTTTGGATGGAAACCCGTATGTCGACTCATGCACAGTTTAAAACGGCTTTAATCGTTTTTTGGTAATTTCATGATGACCTAACTACGTCATTGCTTGCTCTTAGTTTCTTTTGAGCTTTAACATGAAATGATATAGCCTACCGTAGGGCTACATCACGCGCCGCCGCTTTTGTGCGTGCAATTGAAGAGCACGCGCTACGAGCACAGTATGACGGCTGACAGGACAGAATTAGTATTTACTGATATATGGCCTGACAACATCTCATCTGACCGCAGTTCACTGTTGTTCTACTGAAGCTCCTCATTATTTGTAGCTTTTCCGCGCTCGTTTGATGCACACCTGCGCTGAGGTCTGAAAGTCTCCAGTTTGATGTGTTCGCAAAGACTTTCTGCATCTAAATAAACACAATTCTTGTCAAGAACAAAAAGAAGTGACAGAAGCAGCAGTTGTGAGTGGGGTGGCCAACCTTAACTCCGCCTCTGCGTTAATTGCGTTAAATATGTTAACTGGAAAAATTAGTCACGTGTTAATGCGCTAATTTTGACAGCATTAATATTATTTAATATATTGCCAGTATATATAGGTTTGGGGTTGGTACAATTTTTTTATGTTTTTGAAAGAAATCTCTTCTAATCACCAAGGCTGCATGTACAGGTGCATCTCAATAAATTAGAATGTCGTGGAAAAGTTCATTTATTTCAGTAATTCAACTCAAATTGTGAAACCCGTGTATTAAATAAATTCAGTGCACACAGACTGAAGTAGTTTAAGTCTTTGGTTCTTTTAATTGTGATGATTTTGGCTCACATTTAACAAACACCACCAATTCACTATCTCAACAAATTAGAATACTTCATAAGACCAATACAAACATTTTTAAACCATTTTTAGTGAATTGTTGGCCTTCTGGAAAGTATGTTCATTTACTGTACATGTACTAGGTCTGCACGATAAATATCGCACAATATTTAATGCGCATCTCGTCAGTAAAGTCTGTTCTGTAATCAACGGTAAATCTCTACACGTGCGTGCTTTCACGTGGAGCAGCATTTACTACACAGAGCCGTTGTTCACATACAAGCTGTCACCATATTCTAATTTGTTGAGATAGTGAATTGGTGGGTTTTTGTTAAATGTGAGCCAAAATCATCACAATTTAAAGAACCAAAGACTTAAACTACTTCAGTCTGTGTGCATTGAATTTATTTAATACACGAGTTTCACAATTTGAGTTGACTTTTCCACGACATTCTAATTTATTGAGATGCACCTGTATTTTATCAACAACAACAAAAAAAAAAACTTAAAACTGTGAAATATTATTACAATTTAAAAATAACAGTTTTCTATTTTAATATATTTTATAATGTAATTGAAATAGAAATATTTGTAACATTTTGTAAATGTCTTTACTGTCACATTTGACCAATTTACTGTTTCCTTGCCGAATAAAAGTATTGATATCTTTTTCTTTTTATCTTGCTGACCCTAATTTTTTTAACAGTAGTGTAATACATTTAAAAATCATTACATGTGAACTTTTCTTGAAAATATACAATACATTTCTAAGAAATGTGAGAACATTTCTAAATTCTAAAATATTTTTCCTTTTTTTCCCTACTCATATTTGTCATTGACACATATGTCATTCAAGACTAAAAAGTAAGGAAACGGGCCAATCTTAATTACATTTTTACAATTATTAGGGTATTGGAATCTATTGTCAAGTCTCCCAGATGCTTCATGTGAGGTTGGATCATTCTTCGTGTGGCTCGCCTGCCTATTAAGAGTGTTGTTATGAGGTTTCATTGTTGTTAGCATGCTGCCTTTAAAATCAGCTGTCTATGTGGAGAGTAGACAACAAAGCAGCTCACTATGTTTTGAACCAGAGCCAGTGACTGAGCTAAAGTTCTGTCTGTCTCTATAGGTGGCGTGCTATAACCCAATAGCAGATGTGTGGTCTGTGGTGAGTCCGTTGCCTGCTGGACATGGGGAGCCAGGCATGGCCGTCCTGGATGGATGCATCTACATCCTGGGTGGAAGATCGCATGATAAGGGCAGTCGAATGAAGTATGTTCACATTTATAACGTGGAGGAGGACCGTTGGGAGAGCGGGACAGCCCTCGAGGACCGTGTATCTGGGCTTTCAGCATGTGTCCTGCTTTTGCCACGAGCAGCCATGGCTCAGGCACGCAGCTGGGAGCAAAGGGATAAAGCATCATGGGAAGAGGTCGACTGGGATGACTCGGACAACTCAAGCGAGGACTGAAGGTGTTAGCGCTGCTCAGGTGGGGCGTACAACTGTACTTTATTAAATTGGGGACTTGTATGAAATTCCATAATTCTTTACTAGATTGAGTTCTGGTGGCAATTTCAATTTTTGTGAACAGTATGTGTAACCAATCGAAGCCTTTGTTGTGCCTGTCTGTAAGTAACTAAGGGTAAGTTGGAAGTGTTCTGGTTTAGATTATTTCCAAATCGCACTCCTTTATGTTTGTGGGTTAATTTTACTGCCTCTTTTAGGTTGTTGTGCCATTTTAGTCATGCTGATGATTTTCTTATTGTTTTACGTCCAAAACTTCACTCAGAACTACGAGAAGCTGTTGGAGATGCTAACACTGTACATAGGGCTGGGCGACGAAACGATTGAGTGAAGAACACAAAGAACTCTGTGATTTAAACTAATTTAAAGCCAGATGAAAGAGCGCTGACAAACAGCAGAAACACTGTGAGCAACGAGACAGTCAGAAAGCTTTTCAATCTACAAATCGCCATCATGGATTTACTGTAGTAACACCAACTGCACCATGGTATTGTGGCAGAAATGTGGGATAGTCTTATCAAAGTTTATTATATTATTAATGTAGACATGTATTAAATGTATTAAAGGAGCAATGGAATATAAGTACAGTATTTGTTTTGTGATTAAGCTATAGCATTCGTGCAATTATAATAAATGCATTTAGATTACTGTTTTGCATACAGATCCCTAGAAACCATATCGTTACATTTTTACCATGGTATTGAGGTGCTATATGTGTGGTATTAACTGTAGTTCTCATGATGTAAATGTATGCTACTATGGAAGACCAATGGTTAATATTAGTAAACCTCACATTCAGAATAATCACATTTCACCATATAAAACTGAGGTTGTTACAATTTTTACAGATGTTGTTGTTTTTGATAATGAAGATAAATTTACATCTGCATCCTAACTCAAGCTGCTACTGTCACCTCAAGCTACTCTCAAGTGTGCATTTCTAAAAGACAACAAAAATCTATATTATTATTGTTGTAGCCTACACTGCAAACTGCTGAAGATACGAATCATCAAAGTCAGGAGACACAAACCTGGTTCATGCTTTGAAACAATATCACTCATTAGAACAAGCAGAAACTAAGTAATTAAGATGGAAAAATGACTGGAAAAGTGTGAAAAATTCAAAAACGTGAAGTGTTTGTCATGTTCTGACCATAAAGAGTCGTTTAAACCCACAATTAACAGTCTGGTTTCTACAACTTTCACTTAGGAGCAAAAATCTGCCTTTAAACTTAGATTTGAAATTTATCGTGATAATTATCGATATCGACTGATATGAAAACATTTATTGTGATAATTTTTTTTATTACCATATCGCCCAGCCCTAACTGCACATGCACTTTGCAAATATTTAGTTTATAATTATGGTGCCTTTATTTTACAGTTGTGTTTTGGAAAGCCCAATGCCTTTTTTATTAATAGATATTAATTAAGTGCAATAAAGATTTTCAAAAGAGTAAAGGAAATGGTGAAGAAGTGGTAAACAGGATGCTCTAGTGCAGGGGTCGGCAACCTTACACACACATGTACTACCATTAGTGGAGTAAATATTGGCCCAAGAGTTGATCAAATGTGTTGTAAAAGTAACGTTGTAAAATGTAAAAGTTTTCTATTTAAATATATATAGTAAAAATGTAATTTATTCAGCATCATTCCTCCAGTCTTCAGTGTCACATGATCCTTCAGAAATCATTCTAATGTACTAATTTACTGCTCAAGAAAGATTTATTATTATCAATGTTGAAAACAGTTGTGCTGCTTAATATTTAAAATAAAATAATAAAAAAACATACACTGCCATTCAAACGTTTGGGGTAAGTGAGATTTAAAAAAAATAGATATACTTTCTGTTAATTAGGCACAAAATGAATTGTTAAAAAGTGACAGTAAAGACATTTATAATGTTACAAAATATTTCTATTTCAAATAAAGCATTGTTTTGAACGTTTCATTCATCAAGAATAAAAAGAAAAAAAATGTATCACAGTTTTAAGTCTTAAAACTCAAACTCATGAAAACTAAACTCTTTTCAACAACAACAAAAAATAAAATAAAAAAGAACCATTATTAATAGATGAGCAACAACAATAACTGAGCAGCAAATCAGCATATCAGAATGATTTCTGAAGGATCATGTGACACTGAAGACTGGAGGAATGAAGCTGAAAATTCAGCTTTGATCACAGGAATAAATTACATTTGACAATATATTAAAAAATAGAAAAGAGTATTTTATATTTAAAAAAACATTTCACCATATTACTTTTTTTTTTACTGTATTTCTAATCAAATAAATGCAGCTTTGGTGAGCAGAAGAGGCTTCTTTCAGAAGATACCAACATTTCAACTTTAGAAGACTAGTGTTAGTGTATCTAGAAATGGGGAAGGAGTGGTGAAATGTCACAGTGATTATAAATGAAAAATTGCACTTCATGTCAGACAGGTTGCCGGCTGCTGCTCTAGTGAATGCTCATTAATAATATGTTGGCTGTCAAGTCACTCCAAAGAGAAATCTTCAGAAAAAAAATTGCAAATGTTAGATGAGCTATAGTTTAATGTGAACTGTTATTCAAGAGTTCCTCTGGTGTCTTTTGCAATGTAAAAAGCAATTCTGTTCAAAATTCCTTTAAATAGTATGCACTCCTTTTTACTGTTTGCTTTTTGTTTGATTTATTTTCTGTCGTCAACATATCAGACGTATCGCCTCTTTAAACTGTCGGCTAGACATTTCTGATTTGTTTGACCCTTTTGAATGTCATAAGGATCACATGAAATCTGAAAATCACTGATTTTCTTATTTTTTTAATAAACGTTTTTTGGAATATTTAAATATCCATTATATTTGACATGAAATTATATAAATATACATCTACTCTGACTGTAATTGCTAAGACTAATTGTATTTCTTCTAACATTTTGCAAATGCATTACATATTTTAACTGCATTGTTACCAGTTTGCAATGTCATGTTCATGAATGATCACACTGACAATAAAGATCAACGGATTATACTGTAGTTGTTTGGGTGGCTTTAAAGGCTTTGAACAGGGCCGGAGCTGCGAACAGGAGAGGGAAATCTGTTTTAGAACTGGTATTTGGAAAATGTGACGATTGATTTAGTGACGGCAATAATGTGTGTGTAGACAGACAGAGATGGGTGGGGTTCCAATTAGTCAACAAAAGGGGGAAAAAAGCGAAAGAAAAACAAAAATAGGCACTCATAGTTAAATTAAAACTGCATAATTTAAATAATAGTTGACAGAAATGAACAAACAAAACGCAAATGTAGTAATGATAGTTCTACATGAGAAAATACACACGCTTGGGAGTTTGTTACAGAAAATACTAACATCAAATACCTGCTTGATCTTGGTTGAACTGATTTTCATTGGATTTTTTTTATGATTTGGCAACATTGTGTGCAATCATGCTAATAAAATGTAGAAAATAGCCTATATATTTTAAAAAAGAAAGAAAAAAACGGGCTTCTTATATTAATGATTCTACTAAGATATGTGGTTCGGTGATGTTTATATTTATATTAATGTTTATATACATCAATATATCTTTAAAATTAATGGCACTTTACCCAAAGTCACCATGAGCCAAATTACAATTAGGATCTGACACAGACTTTCAAAGTGCTCTCATTAACTCTTATAGCAGATGTTTCTGTCTACTTCACTTCCCTTTGAACTGAACTTCTTTATGACCCATTGGATGTATCTCTGTCTGTCTGTCTATCTATCTATATACATGCACATACATACATACATATAAGCTTATTATCTGCTTTTTTTCTTTCTTTGGAAAAGAAAAAAACCATGACCACATCTTTTTCATGATATTTACTGACCATTCTGAATTTCAGACATACAACATTGTAATTTCCAAACAGCATTTTACACTACACAATTCTTTTTTCTTTTTTTTTAAGCAAAAATAATATTAAGTAGCAGCAAAAGCAAACACAGAATAAATAGACATTTTAACAACAAAGCCAAGAAAACCAGTCCGTTCTTGGTCCTCTGTACGCAGACATGAGTTTTCAAGTCAAAAGATATCAAAAGTCTAAAGAACAGCATTTCCAAATGCGTTTAATGTGGCACAATTGACAAGCACGTTGTCTTTTCTCACAGTGGAAAGAAAACAAAGACCCTCAGATCAGCAGAATTCTTCAATTAAACTGAAGCAGGTTTATTACTTTGTATTTGCATCCAAGTTGACTCACAAACAACATTCTAGTTAGTGCCACTTGCTCATTACATTCGCTCAGTGTTCTAGTGTTTTTCTGGTGCTCGCAGGTACAGGGGGACGCGTGCCATCATTTGGGTCAGGGCGTGATCGTGCAAGACTTTAGAAAGCATCCCATCACTCGCTCACCAGCACGAGTAAGAGAACAGTGGGTATTGGCTCCAGTCCCCTACATTTCCGTGGTGATAGCCGTGATGGATGGCCTGGGTGCTGTATTCGGTGGGTAGGTGATGATGGGGAGGTGGAGGAGGGGGGTATTGAGTGGACGCTGCCCCGCTCCACTGTCCCAGAGATTGTTCTGTGCTGTAGGGTGTGTAGAGAGGATGGTGGCCCAGCATACCTGGCTTGGCCTGGGCTATAGCCATGTTCAGCACCCCTGTGTAGTCCTGGTGCCCCGCTGAGGCGTGTGGTGGGCAGGGAGGCAGGCCGAACTCAGGGGCGGAGGGCTTGCTAGAGGTGTCTTGATCGGGCACGGTGACAGCCTCCGGCACACGGGACTCAAAGCTGGAGCGGCTTCCACATCCACTGCTGCTGCCAACACTGGACGAGGACGGAGAGGGGGACTTGCCGTATTCATGAAATCTGCTAAAAGATTCAGAATTTAACATCGAGACATTGACATGGGAGAAAATGGCTTTATAAGTCTTGTTTGAGGTGAGTAGCCTGTACCTGTATGGCTGGTACGTGTTCTGTCCCGGTACGAGCTGTTCGGAGCTGTACATGTCCCGAGGGTCCGAGCCCAGAGGGGACTCAGCACGGAGAGCATTGCTATTGTCCCGGTCGCATGCACCTCCCCATGGGGAGTAGCGCTCGGCCTTCACCTCCGACTCCTTACGGCCCACATGTTCATCATCCAGACCCTCCTCGCATGAGGACTGCTGGATATCTGAGATAAAGATCAAGGAGACTTTAATAAATTACAAATACAGCAACTATTTGAGAATTTTTTTAATAAAAATCATCAGTACTCGCTGCTAGTACAAGCTGCTAGTTAATGGCTCAAAAGCCTACAAAACCTTACAGAAATGCATGAAATTAAAGACCATTACCTCGTGGGCTTTCATGTTCGGAGTCTTTTGACAAGTTGATCTTCTTTACAACTCTCTCAGGATCAGCCAGACTTCTGTTTGCTCGTCTGTCAAAAAAAAAAAAAAAGATT